TATTATATTATATTATATTATATTATATTATATTATATTATATTATATTATATTATACTATATTTATTATTATTTCTTTTCTTACCAAGCCTGAGACAGATCCATAAGCTAAGAAAGGCATTTTGCGCAGAGTTCTTCCAGATAAGCCGGAGGAGACTTTAATAATTTCTTCAAATGTTTGTTTATTTCTGAATTATAATTAATTAATTAAAAATAAAAAACAAATAAATACAAACGCTCTTACTGCTTCTCAATAGCAAGATCGTCAGCCCCCTGCTGTTTGTCGTAATGCAGAAAAGAAGACAAAAATAAAAAGAGTTTTTATTATTTTTTAATTGAATTGAACAGAAATAAAAAGGTTAATAAAGATAAACATATATCTTTACTAGATACCTTACTTCTGTAGAAGAATCAATGAAGTTGCAGTTGGAGGTGAGAAGTTGTGTACGGATCTATGAAAGCAATAAAAAGATATTTTTAGGTGTATGTACACCTCAATATTTATCTTTTATTTACTTACAAGCTCTTCTATACAACCCGTCAAAATATCTTTTCTGCATTTTACACTCGGTGATGGAATATATAATTTTAAATCGGCTCTGTCAATGAACGCCGCATCTAACTTTTCTGATGATAGCCAGCAATAAATAAATAAATTAATTAATAAGTAAATTAATAAATTAATAAATTAATAAATTAATTATGGTATAAATAAATAAGTTAATTAATTTGTTAATGTGTGGATAAAGACATACATTAATTTCAAAAGCAGAATCCAGTCATAAATAAACAAATGCATTTGAATCGATAAATGAATAAATAAATAAAAATAAACACATAAATGCATGCCCGTGTTAGTTTATTTGTTTGTTAAGAACGACAAGATGAGACAAAAGAGAAGAAAAGAAAGACAGATGCGGAGGAAACAAAGAAAGAAAGTTAAGCAGAAAAAGAAAAGTATTATAATGAAAACAGCACCCTTAAATAATAATAATCATCATCATCATCATAAAAATAATAATAATATTTATTGCATTTTAAATCAATTTAAGGAGGCATCTTCGGTTATTATAAACGAATAAAGCAGTAATATAATAATAATAAGAAGAAAAGCAAAGAAGAGAGCATACCTGCTAGATTTGAAGTGGTGAGTATTAATGCATTAGGGAAAGTATGAAATAAATCAATTTGAGTTAGAAGTGCATTGACAGCGCGGAGTGTCTCCGGAGACTCTGAAGCTGCTGCTGTTGTCCTCGATAAAGATAAGGATTCAACTTCATCAATAAATATAAAAACAAGCTGTCTTTTGTCTTGTAGTAATTCTCTTATTGCTGTAAACACCTTCACAATTGCCTTTCCAGATTCACTAAACCAACGCGAGAATAAAGCAGAAGAATTCAATGAAATAAATAAACAAGAAGAAAAAATTAGACTGAGTCGGATCGCCAGCTTCTGACTGAGCCCTTTGCAGAGGGATGTCTTTCCTGTTGTATATCAGCATCATTAGATAAAGATATTAAATTCTTTTAAATGCATCAGAGCTCAAGCTTCTCTTCCTCTTATTCACAGAGAAGAAAACTAGAAAAGATATTCTTCTGCTTACCGCTGCCAGGAGGGCCGTGCAGAAGCACCATTCGATTCCAGGCAATAAGCTGAAGTAAAAAAAAGAAAAATTAAATAATAATTAGTTATATTAATTCTACTTTTATTTGTTTTAAAAAGACAGCTTTTCTTACCTTGGTATTGACGTTTCTAGCTGAAAACAGCAGAGCAGTCGCCGTGTACTCGAGAAGAATTTCTTTTTCTCCCTTTTCAAAGTGAAGATTTTCCCAGATGTTTTCAAATTCTTTGTTCGGAAGCTTCCATTGTTTGAATAAACTTGTTGCTGCTGTTGTTGTTTCTTCTGTTGCTGTTGGTGTTGTTGTTAGTGGGTTTGTTGCTGCTGCATTTGCTGTAGTGTTTTCAAAGTCTTCTTCCTCATCTGAACCCACTACTCCGCATTCTTTAGTGCCTTCGTGCAATTTGTAAGGAAATACGGTGATGTGCGCCTGGCAATAGGGAAAGATCACTGGATGGCTTTCTATAGAGCTGCGGCAGCTCCCTAGAAATGCAGCTGAAAGACAATTCATATCTTTGCTGCTGTTGTTGCTGTTGCAGCCGCCGCCGCCTCCGTTGCTGCTGCTGCTGCTGCTAAGTTGACTGCTTACTGAGAAAGTTCTGAGATTTGCAGGTTCAATGCATATAGATGAACATGCACGAGCTAGCAAAGGTACTCCAACTCGAGAGGGGCAGTGGAAACCGAGCGCCACTGTCAGTCCGGAAGATGCAAGCCAGCAGTTTGCTGCATCAATTATTGCCTGAAATGGAACTTTTGCTTCCAATTTCACGCAAATTTCGCAGCATAACTCCACTTTTGGCTGTCGAACCACTGAGCAATCCGAACCACCAGAAGCGGTGCTGGGGCTCCGAGAGGAAAAGGACAGAGATGGCTGCATTTCTTTGAAATTTCACTGAAATAATCTCTTCAATTTGTACTAAATATATAATTTTATCTATTTAGCCACACATTTTTACTGGATTCTTCATGCCTTCGACCGCTCAGAAAGCTGAATTCAATATCAGAAAAAAATGCAGCGTGCGAGGTGTACATACACCTGAAACGCAGGGTTGCGACGACAGTATCAGCCAAACAAACCCACATAATTAGTACACTAGAGTCTACATCTAGTTTTTTATACACTAGAGTTTACATCTAGTTTGTTATAATGGGAATATGTCTCAGGGAGGCTCGAAATGAGGAAGGAAGCGGGAGAAAGTTCACGAAAATGTGCTGTCGTACCGTAACGGATTATAACGAAACTCGCCATTGAAATATTTGAATTATTGGCCTTATGGTAATAGTGAGTGCATTTTGATTCTAATGTTACGTTTCAAACTTTCTTGAGCTGCGCGCGCATCAGTTTAATCGCATTTGCAAAGTGCCTTCCTTCGGCAGCATTAGTTCGTTAAGGATATCATAGGCTGGATGACTAAAAGTGCTGCTTATTCCCTCTTTTCTTTCATCAACCCTCTTTATATTTCCTTTAGAAAGGCAAAATACTCATTACCTTTTAACTGATTGTTGTAGCCAATGGGAGTTTCTGCATTTCCCGTTGTACTAGCCGAGCTGCATGTAGGTAGTGCTGGCGTACACACAGATGAGCGTTAGTTTCAAACACTATTACGCTATTATATTATTGTATAATTGCATTAATAGGGTAAATATACACCGTGATGATAGTTATTACAGAGTAGTAGGAGCCTCAACCACCTGCGAACACCAGGCGGCGTGCGTCTGGGAGGGTTGTGGAACGCGGGCGATTCAGTGTTAATATTGAAGTTAATTCATAGAAAACACAAAGAAATTGATGAAATAAATTAAGAGAGTGAATTGTAAAGGGCATTTTCATTGATTTTCTTTGCTTTTCTAGCAGATCACTGCACCGACCGCCAGCAACTGGATTGGGCCTCGTTGTCTGTTGTTGCGGTTGGCGGGAGGCGAAGGAAGGCGGCGTAATATCTGCTTAATAGGGCAAATAATGTTTGAAATTAAACAATTTAAACAATTAAAAGGGAAATATAATAATAATAAATTGTTCAATGGACGCATCCATACAAACAAAACACACCAACAGCTACCACTGCTAACAGACCGCCGACGACGTCACACCGTAGTTGGGGCTTTGAATGCTCGGGATTTTTCTTGAGATTGTTTGCATAAAAAGAGTATTTGTGAATTTTTATTCATCTTAAGTTTAAGATTTTAATTTATTTTATGCTAAATACTAGTATCGCCTTCGTACACAGCGAATTCATCCTGCTGCTCTGACCGTTCAGTTTGGCGGCAGCGTCAGCGGACTGTCTGTACACCGCAGCCTCCAGCCATTGGTATTTTGCCTTTTTTTTAGGCGCCTTCTTGCCTTTATTGTTAAACGAGTAGATTTTGGACAAGTATTCAACGATATCTTTCATCAGACATGAGCAGAGTTAGCGCTGAAAACCTGCAAAACCCCAGATCAACCACCACCCGCCACAGCCGCCGGCTGTAGCCACAGGCTGTAGGCAGTGAAGAATAGCATTTCTTGCAGAATCTTCTTACTCAAATGATTCCGAAGTATATTCTTATCAGCGTGTTCTTAGCGTGGACCGCTATTAAACCCTCTGCTGCCTTCGGAGATGAAGTAGAAAACTTAATAGGTAAGAGACCCCTCTCGATCTCCACAAGAACCTGAAAAACTCAGGAAAATACCAGCAGCTTCTCCCTCTTTTGCCTTATTCGTAGCGAAGCGCGCGAGGTATACGTACACCTGGCAGCATGCGTAAGCGTGGTTTTTAGGAGAGAAGCACATGAACAAGGAATACTTGTTTGAATTATCTTTGCTTTTATTTTGCTTTGTTATGCATTGTTGATGCAGCCCTAGAGGATGAAAGGCCTCCGCAAGTGGGGGGGCCTACCGTCCGCCCCCCTCAAAGCCCCCTTCCCTCCTCGGAGCTGCAGACACTTCTCTCCGATATCAGAGGGAACACGCATTCTTTTACAACTCCAAGGCGTTTTGACGTGCGTCTCTCCACTGCTGCTGCTGCTGCTGCTGCTTCTGCTGCTTTTCCTGCTGCCGTTGTTGTGGTGTTGCTGCTGCTCTCTCCGTTGTGCTTCTCTTTCTCTCTTTCTTCCTTAGTGTAAGCATCTGCATCTTCATTTGCTGTGTGTGTTTATTCAGGGAGTGAAGGACCAGCTTTCAGGCAAGTATTTTTGAACTGAATGCTGGTGCTGCTGTTGCTGCTACTCCAGTTGCTGCTGCTGCTCTGCAGCTTTTGTTGCTGTTACTCCTCTTGCTTTTGTCCCCCCCGTTGCAGCTGCTCGTCCCGTTGCTGCTGCTGTTGTTGGAGCAATTCGTTCATCATCTTCTTCTTCTTGCTGCTGCTGCTGCTGCTTGTGTGTATGATTATGTATAGGAGTTGTAGTTCAAGACATGCCTACGCATGCATGCCAGCAGCTGCTGCTAGACTTAGAGCGAGACGGGAGATTGACTCCTCCAGTTGCCTTAGAGACTTTGATAGCACCTCCGAAGTTTGGAGGTGTTTCACTGCATCAGCAAATAAATAATCTTTTAGATTTGCAAAAAAGTGTATTAACAGCCAGCGAAAGGGATTTAAGGAGTTTGTTGATTAGAGAGCTCCGCCAGCTGCTAACAGAGACAGACACATCTACAAGAAAAATGCTGCTAGGCTTTCGAAAAGCAGAAGCAGCAGCAAGATTGAAGCAAACAACTTTGCTATTGGAGAGACTAGGAGCATTAGGAGCGAAGTATGAAGAGGAGCTTATAAGAAGCTTGAAGCGCAGCAGCAGCAGCGGGGGCAGCAGCAGCAGCAGCAGAACCATAACGAAGCTGTTTGTTAGCAATATAGCACAAGAAGTAGAAGCATGGTTGGCCGGCCCTACGTTCTTCTCTCCACAGCTGCAGCAGCTGCTGCTGCTGATGCTGCAGCTTGAGCAGCAAGATATACCGATGCCTAGGGATATCCTCTTTCAAGCGCTGGATGCATATATGCAACAACCGCAGCAAACAAAGCAAGAAGTAATGAAGATTTTTGTAGGGCAGTTGAACACGAGCAAGCTGCTGCTAGCTGATGAAGAAATAAGTCTTATAATAGATATGCTTGTGCTCCTTTGGGAAGCTTACTTTTCTCATAATGCAGATGTCTTAAATGCATTAAAAGCAAAAGATAGAGTAGGCGGAACCTCTGGGTTAGAGTGGCTTGAAAAAGAAGTCAAAGAAGGAAGAGAAGCAGTTTTATCTTGTAATAAAAAGCGAAATCTTGATAAGTTTGGCTTTCTTTCTGCTTTTTATTTATTCATGTGGATGCAAGAATCAGCTGTCTCTGCTTTATCTTTAATTCTTCCTTGCTGCCGCCTTCTTCATCTCTCAGGCTCTGCTCCTTTAAGCCTAGTGTCTTCTACTAATTTTGCTGTAAGCGTAGAGTATTACTCTCTATCGGCTCAACATGAAACAAGAGAGCATAAATATACACAACAGCTTACAAACAAAGCAGATAAATATTCGCATTATATTCATACTCCTGTAGTAGCACTTGCTACGAGTCCCTTCTCTGTCTCTGACTTTGTTCAATTGCAACGACATGCAGCTTCTCCATTACGCCTCAAAAGAAGTAAACCCTAAACCCTAAACCTAAAACCCTGTTATACCCTTACCTCAACACCCTGGACCCTAAACCCTAAACCCTTAGTTCAACACCGTAAAGCGAAAACTGTAGAGCCTAAACCACAAACCCTAAACCCTAAAACTTACCGACAAGGTATAAATAAGAGGGTTTATGTGATGATTAAGAGGGTTTAGGGAATAAAGAAGTGGGTTTAGGGCATAAATAAAAGGGTTTAGGGTTTAGGGTTTAGGGTTTTGTTTTCGCAGGAGTTGAAGTGCTGCAGCTAACTGCAACAACTGCAAATACACTCCGGCAAATACTAACTGTTCAGGGAACACCCGCCAGAGACATAGGAGAGCTTCTCGGTAATATACACACACCCTAGCTAGCTGTAGCTAGCTACAGCTAGCTATAGCTAGCCACTGCTACCTACTGCTAGCTACTGCTAGCTACAGCTAGGTACTGATAGCTACAGATTCCTACAGCTAGCTCCAGATAGCTATAGCTAGCTACAGATCCTTACAGCTATCTGCCTATCCCTAGAGCTAGCTACAGCTAACGACGCCTTGCTGCACCTAGCTACAGCTAGCTGCGGCTAGCTGGAGCTAGCTACTGCTGGGTAGCGCTAGAAAGCATGTCGTTGCAGCTGTGTCTTCATATACCACTAGGAGTACTCTGGTTTCTAGATGTATATATTTGGAGGAAGGAGTTTAGCAGCTGTCTATACACCTGAATTGTTTGTTATTTGTGTTGCTTTTAGGAGCGCCACCAGCTTCTCCAGATACAGTTGATGCTGCAGTTAGTCGACTCTTTGAAGGAATATTCACTGGAGAGAGGAAAGAGCTGCGAGATCTCTTTAACGGAGAGTTAGGGCTTATTGAGAAGCGCATGCAGCAGCGGCAGGAGCAGCAGCAGCAGCAGCGGGGGAAGCAGGGGCAGCGGAAGCAGCAGCAGAGACAGCAGCAGGAGCTGCAGGAGCTGGAAGACTTGTTTTCGAGTTTGAGCGATGAATTAATTCAGCTTCTGATGGCTTGGGTAGATGCATTAAAGAAAGAAAAGGCAGCAGTTGTTTCAGATATGCAGCAGCAGATGGAGGCAGCAGCAGCAGACCCTAACCTATCGATAGATTCTTTGTTTTTCAATTCTAATATTGCAGAAAACGTAGTAAGCAGCATCAGCTATACAACAACATATAATGCTTCTGCTGTATCTTCGATCAGTGCTGTTCAGCAAATGAAAAAGCCTTCATGGGTTGTGCAGCTAAACGTAGAAACGCTGAAGAAAGCGCAGGCAGCTGTGCTGCTGCAGCCTTCTATGCATTTGACTCATCAAGCAGCACTAAGAAACCGTATATTTGTTGCTGCTGGAAAACAAAGAGTATTAAGAAGAGATATTCTTCAAAGAATTGCTACTGTTCTTCAACTTACTGCTAGACTGCAGTATAACTTCTATGATGCAAGAGCAGCGCTACTCTCTCCTTTGCTGCGAGAGCAGCTTAAACAATTGCTGCAGCAAACTGTACAAAGGCGTCCATCTCTTATTCCTGCCGATGATACTGCTGCTGCTGCCGCTGATTCTTCCGATGCAGCAGCAGGAGAACCAGCTGCATCAACAGCAGGGACAGAGACAGCAGCAGCAGCAGCAGCAGGAGACGGCCGAGCAGCAGCAGCAGCGGCAGCAGCAGATGAACTGCTTGATACACTTGGGTTTGCTACTGCAGTGAAGCTCTTTAGCTTTGCTCAACAAACTAAAATTAATATTCAGCTGCTAGACGGAAAAAATCGCATAATTAGCGTCGCAACCCCAAGGAAGAATGCACCGCTTGTTGCTATCATAGAGGTATATACAGTATAATAATCATATTATGTATTAAATATAAACATAAATATGTATATATATACATATATGTACATTTATGTTTATATTTGTATTCGTATTTATGTTATATTTATACTTGCGCTTGTATTTGTACATATATATATATATATATTTATGATTATGCTTAAGTTGATATTTATATTTATATGTGCATTTGTGCATATATATATAACATACATATAAATTAAATAAATACATAATATGCGCGTTAAACTAACGTTGCATATTACAAGATATGTTTGTATATATATATATATATATACATGTATATACATATGTATTAACTTCATGCATGCAATATGAATATTAGTAGTTCGAGTAAGCAATACAAGAAAAATAATATCTGTCTTTGATTACTAAATATTTTTAAATTCTTTTTTTTGCGTTTTGTTTGTTTAAATGTCTCTGTTGATTTATTGCTTTACTTTGTTTCTTTTTGTACTTTCTTTTATCCTAAGGACCCCACAAACGGAGCTTTTCTTAGAGTCGCTGCTAATGAAGATGTGCGCAAAATGCTGCAATCCATCAGATCTATCAAAGAAAGACTTCACCTACCCTCTCTCCGACTCACTGAGGCCTCCTCTCCACCTCTTCCAGGTATAATATATATGTATATATATATATAAAATATATATAATATATATATATATACATGTATATATATATGTATATATATAAGAATATGCATATGTATATATATATATATATATAATTATATATGCATATATATGAAGATATATATGTAGATATATAAAGATATATATATATATGTATATATAATATACGTATGTATATACATACGCATGTACATTTGGAAATATATATACATATATATATATAGTTATGTGTCAGTAGATATCTAGATGCATTTATATACATAAATATATATATGCAAATAGACATATGCATATTTACATATTCATATATATATATATATATATATATATATTATATAAACAACAAAAGAAAGATAGACTTCAAGAGGAGGGCGGCAAACGCAGCGAGGTTGTGTATATTTAATTATTTAATGCGTTTATATATTTATATTTATTTATTTATTTATATTTATTTATTCTTTTTTAATCTTGTTTTTTGCTTTTTTGCTCAGCACCAACACCACCCCTGGGGTTTTTAAAGACTTTGCGTCGTCTATTCAAAGGCTACTTAGGTAAATAAACAAGAAAATATAAAATAATATTTATTTAAACAACGTATATATATTTAATATTATTATTTATTGCATCTATTTAAATTATTTATTTATTCGTAGTTAAAATGCTTTTATGTGCTGTGCTTATTTAAAGGGTTAATCAATTGTATTATTTGTTGCTTTTGTTTAAATGGTTTATTATATTTATTCTTTTATTATTTTAAAAGATATAAGTGTATTAAATGCATTATTTGTTGTATTTATTTAAATACTATAAAAGATAAATTTTTATATTTAGTTTGTTATTTCTAATATTTATTCATCTGACTAAAACTTATTTTTATTTGCTGCAATTTTAATTTTTTTTGTTTTTTCTCTGTTTGTTTTTTGTGTGGCTGCAGGAAAAGACACAGATGTCTGTAAGCCGCTTCTTCTTATTTATTTATTTATTTTTATTTATTTTCTTTTTTATCTTCTTTTATTTATCCTCCTTTTATTTCTTTTTATTTCCTTTTTATTCTTTTTATTTGCTTTTACTTCCTTTTACTTCTTTTTCTTTGTTTTCCTTTGTTTTCTTTCTTTTAATTTCTTTTTCTTTGCTTCTCTTTCCTTTTCTTTTTCTTCTTTGTTTTAATTTATTTTAATTTCTTTTTCTTTGTTTTTATTTGTTTTAATTTCCTTTCATTTTCTTTCTGTGTTTGCTAATTATTGCTCGCTCTTTATTGTTCATTTCTTTTTCTTTGTTTTGACTTCGTTTTATCTTTTTGTTGTTTGTTTATTTTCCTTTCTTTTGTATGTTTATTTTCGCTTAATTGTTCATTTCTTCTTCCTTTTAGCTGTTTGTTTCCTTTCTTTTTATTCTTTCATTTTAATTGTTTATTTCTTCTCCCTTTAATTTCTTTTGCTTTTATTGATTAATATTTTCTTTTTTCTGTTTTCTTCTTCTTTCAGCCGGCTTCGTTAGTACTCCTTTAACAGACGCTGTTGCAACTGCTTTAGAGAAGAGCTGCACAACAGCACTTGCTGCTGCTGCTGCTGCTGTGAACGCCTGCTACCCCACCAGCACGCAGTTTGTTAGGTAAACCCTAAACCCTCAAACCCTAAACCCTAAACCCTAGTTATATTCCAATTGCAATAAACGCAGATAAGTAAATATATTTTACTTGCAGTTAGCGAAAATATATCTTTTTGATGGAACGCACGAAATATATATTTTATATGCAGTAAAGAAAATTAAATATATTTTTAAAAAGTTATTTTAATTTTTATATATGCTGCGCATATTTTAAACACGATGAGTAAAAAATGTATATTTTAAAATTAATACTAAATAAATGTATTTGGCGGGGCGATAAACAAAAACAAATAAATAAATATCAAATGTGACAAACAAAAATATTTAATTATCCTTTTTATGCGGTTGTTGAATTTGTTCTTTTATACATTTATTTACTTTCACTAAATTTATTTTAATTCATTTATTCAATAAATGCAATTTGATTTAATTTAAATTATGGAATATGTTTAATTAATTTTAATCAAATTGAATTAAGTAAATTTAACTTAATTTAATGTAATCTCGTTGAATTTCGTTTGATGCATTTTTTTTACTTGAATAAAATTTAGTTTAAAAACTAAGAGTAATGAATTAAGTAAAAAACATGAGATATTTATTTGAATAAAATGCTGTTATGTTTTATTGTACTGTATTTTTATTATATTATATTACATTGTATTTATTTTCTATTTAATTTATTTTCTATTTAATTTAATTTATTCAGGTGTATGGTTTCGCAAGTCCTTTCCTGCTATCGCCCTGAAGGCTCTTGCGTTATGCAAGTAAATAAAATAGAGAATATGAATACAGAAATATTAGAAAAGGCTTTTATTGATTTGCATAATTTACTTGAAGATGAAACTGAGTTCTTCAGTAAATACCCCTGGAACCGAATTAAACATTTCTCCAGAGATGCACTCGATGCAAACCGTAAGCATATATATAATATATAATATATATATAATTTATAAATAAATATATCTATTATATATTATGTATGTATATTATATATATGTGTATATACATTATCTGTATGTTCAACATTTTATAATTAAGTATGAATATTAGTATTAAATGCTAAATAATAATAAAACACAAGCCTTAATATATATAGAAGCATATTTTTAGTTTGTTCATTTGTCTGTCTTTATTTGTCTGTATGTGTATTTATTTGTATTTATTTGTTTGTTTTGGTTTGTCTTTGTTTGTTTATAGAGGAGTATTTATCTAGAGATGAGAGAGAACTGATATTTAACAGTTTTCTTTCTGGAGAAACATTTCCTTCTCCTTTTAACTTAAGAGGAATTCATATTCTTCTCATGCGCTCAATTTTATTTAATATTTCTCCATCTAACCCTGGGGCTGCATGCATTACTGCAATATTAAGAGGAGAAGAAACAACAAAAAACAAAAAATGTGTTGCAGCCATCTCTCAAACTTTTTCTCCCTTTCTACGACCACCAAGTATGTCTTTATTTATTTGTTTATTTATTTATTTAATATATTTATTCTTTTATTCTTTATTCCTTTCTTTCTCTACTCGTCCTTTTTCTTTCCGATTATCTGGAAATTATTTATCTAGTTATTTTGCTGTTTTTTTTACATCTATTTCTTTGATTCTTTGTTTGCTGCTTCTGCTTACCTCTCTACTAAACTCCTCTCCGCCTAATGAAACCCGAAACCCTAAACCCTAAACCCTCAGCATGCGACAAAGCCTTCCCTGTGTATTTGAACAATTAGCTGCGCTTTACACACACTCTGTTGGATGCGTTATCACCTGCATGCATGCATAAATGAGTGTTTTCTTTCTTGTTTAGAACTTGATGATGAAGGCGAATCAATCCTTATGAAGGCGGCAGAGAGGGCTGCAGCGCAACTGCGGAGCATTCAAATCCGTTAGTCATCCTTTTACATAGAACAAACACCTGCTGCTGCTGTTGCTGCTGCTGCTGTTGCTGCTGCTGCTGATGATGCTGCTGCTGATGTTGCTGCTGCTGATGATGCTGCTGCTGATGTTGCTGCTGCTGGTGGTGTTGCTGGCGTTGCTGTTGTTGCTGCTGATGCTCCTCTTTCACTTCCGCTGCTGCTACTGTTGATAGTTCTGCTGCTGTTGTTGCTGCTGCGTTAGCTGCTGTATGCTAGTGCTGTTTGTGCTGCTTCTGCTGCTCGTGCCTGTTGCTGCTGTTGCTGCTGCTGCTGCTGCCAGTGCCGCAGCACAGTTGCTGTGCTTGCTTCCCATTGTGTATTGCTATTTCCTGTTCCTGCTGCTGCTGCTGCTGTTCCTGCTGTTGCTGCTGCAGTGGACAGTGTGAGCCCTTCTAGAATAGCCGAGGAGTTGCGGCGTCTGCTGGAATTTGACTTTTCAACATTTTACGATTTTTTGTTGGCTCCGATGGAAGATTCATCGTCTTCTCCTGAAGAAAAGATAGCTCTCGGCGCTTGTTTCTTTCAGCTAGGAAGGCAAATCGATGCAGAAAAACAAATGTATTCGCATGTAAACGGTCTCCTAGTCCGTAGCGATATCTCTACTCTAATTAAGCGATGCTTTGTTGATACATGGTCTAGACGCATGCAGCTGATGTCAGAGGAATCGGAAGCAGGAGCAGCAACAGCAGCAGGAGCAGCAGGAGCAGCAGGAGAGGAGGCGGCAGCAGGAGATGCTGTTGCTGCTGCTGAGGATGATGAAGCAAGGCGCGCTTCGATGATTACCACAGCAGACGAAGCCTTAAGACGTGCAATGCTGAAAGATTTATTTTTGCATGCAATAATGCAGCATCGCATGCGTGCAGTATTGCAAGCATTAGATATATTTTTACAAGCAGAAGCAGCAAGAAGAAGAAAAGGAAAGGAGGGAAGAGCAGCGATTAAAGCCCTTGTACAACGCATGCGTTCTTTGTCTTTTTCTCGTTTTTCTCAATTTGTTATGGCATCTCCTCAAACAATATCTTTTTCTCTGTCTATCATCGCCCAAGAATTAAAAAAAGATATGTTTCTTATCTATAAAATACCGTACTTCAGCACTGCTCTCTTCCTTCGTATAGGAAACCCCTCTCGTTCTGTTGCAACTATTATGAGGAAATTTCGAAGACAAAATTTAATCTGCAACCCAATTTGCAGAGATGTACAAAGGGCATATGATATGGAGACGAAGATAAAAAGAAGTAAGAAAACACATATATTATATTATATTTCATCAATCCAGCACTTATTCTTCTTTTCTTACTCACTGATGCATGCAATGTAATAGAGAAAGAAAGAAAGAATCGGAAGAAAAGGAAAACCAGTAGAAGCAAAACATAGTAATAATAAGTAGTAAGAAAGGAATATTGAAATGTGTTTTTTAGCTTAATATCTTTGAATAAACATTATATACATATAAATATATATATTTATTTATACATACATATATATATATATGAATATTTTGCTAATTATGGTATTTGTGCTTTATAGTTTCTACGAGTACTGATATACGATGTAATGCACTACAGATATATATATATATATATATGTATATATGTTCGTGCAATTTAATAGAGCACTACTTTGCCTTATTGAATTTTTTATGTCTTGTTTGTTGTGTGTTTGTGAGCAGAAATAGCGCGTTCTCTGTCTAGTCAAATTCGTTTACAAGTTGCGTCTTTAAAAAGAATTTGTAAATCCATGGCTGTAATGGGTGCAGTACGCAGCGGGGAGTTGTTGAATTCTTTTAAAATATTGGAGTTAATGGGAAAGAAACCAGAAAGCGTATCTCCTGGGTCTTTAGATATATGTTCTCTGCATTTAAGAGGGCTTGCAGCTTCTGCTTTGCCAGTTTGTAGCTATGAAAGTATTCCTTTTCGATATGCATTAGAAGCATTTAGAATATCTCTTGCTCAAAGAGGTGTGCATGCAAGCACATGGTTCCGCTTCTTCTCAATGAATGATGAAGCTATTGTACAAAACAGTATTGTAGAAGCTAAAAGAATTACTTCAAAAAAGTCTCTTGAAGAATTCACTAAAAGCCCTGAATGGAGAAGAGTTCTTCCTCTTGCATTAGACAATGCAGCAACAGCACTGCTTGATAGATTTGCAGGTATGCTTTTTTTGTATTTGTTTGCTTATTCATCATGTTTTTTCTCTTTATAGTATTACTATTATTATTGTCAATAAACTAAAAAATACATTTATATTCCCTCATCATCACGTTGTTCATAGCTGTAGAGGTAGACACATTCGTTTCTGCCGTTGCTTTCCTTGCGTTTGTCTTCGCTTTCCTTCTATTTTCTTTGTTTTTGTCTTTCCTTCTGTGTTTTCTGCTTCTAGACCTCAAGAGTTTGATTTATCTTCTAGAAGGAAGAGTAGATACCCGAGGTTTCCGCAGGGGCGTTCGTTCGCTAACACACAAAATATTGCAATGGCTGATGAAACCAAAGGAAGAAAAAAAGATTATAAGAAGAGCTGGACCTTCTCGTAAGCTCTTTTTCCTCAATATTAATAAGAATAATATTAGTAATTATGAAATTATTGTTATTTGTATTTTCTTTAAGACAGCAAATGCAGGGTCTGTGTCTATCACCATCTACGTACTTCGAAGCATTCATTTTTATTTTTTTTGGTTTTATTCCTCAGCTTGGGGCATTTGGTTATTGTTATTGTTGTTATTGTTGTTATTGTTGCTGTTATTGCTGTTATTATTGTAGTTGCTGTTGTTACTGTTGTTATTGTTGTTTTTGTTTTCGTTTTGTTGCTGTTGTTGATGTTGTTTTTGTTGCTGCTGCATTAGTTTAGTTTTTAATGAATTTGCACTTGTTGTGGCTGTTGTTGCTGCTGTTGTTGTTCTTGTTTTATTTTCTTCTATTTGTTATCGTTTGTGGAGCAGCTTACATGGATATGATTAGAGTTTCTTTCTTTTGTCGTTATTGTACTTGCCGTTTGTTTTCCTTGCTGCTGTTGAAGCAGCAGCAGCCTAATGTATTGTCCTTACTTTTTGCTGTATGTTGTATGTTTAGGTAGCGAAGAGGTCGAAATAGAAACGCAAGATACAATAAATTTATCAGATTTATCATTATTATCAGAAGACGTAATAATAACGGGCTGGCGAAATTATTCTTTTTCAATAGATTCTATGAATAAGGAAGCAACGCATTTCAATAAAACTCATCGTCTACTCGCTGCTGTTGGAACTGGCTTTCGTTGCAATCAAATGTTTTTAAGTGATCAGACAACTTTCTTTGGAGAGATAAAAGGAAATAAAACAGCAGAAGAAATACTACAAAGAACCGCAGGAGAGTTCTTTGTTTCTCCTGGTGCTGTACCTGATGGCTTTCGTTCTCTAAGAGCAGAGGCAACTCTATCTATTCAGTCATATTGTAGAGGCAAAGCAAATATATGTAAAGTTGATCAATATACTCCACAACAAGAAAAGCATAGAATACCAGATACTTGTACACGACCTACTGTCTTCTGTACGCAAGCAATGGCTTGCGCAGAAGCTTCAGATAAAGAAAAAAGAATTGTTCTCGACAGTAAGAAATAACACACAACTTTTATTTATTTTTATAATATTAAATGCAATATTATGCACTTAAGTTAATCATAATATCGTGAAATATTACGTTATGCAATGTAGAATTAGACGAATGTGTGAAATGATTTTCCCTGTACATATATATATATATATATATATATATAATAGCGTACACATATAAGGTTCTGCATGATGCTGAATAAAATGTAGAATAAGTGTGGTGTATATCGATCGCATTCCATGCAAATGCACACGATATATAGATGATTTAGTATATATTTTTCTGTTTTGTTTGTATGTGTTCAGGCGATTGTTTGTTGCGTTTGCTGGATGAGTTGCTAACATCTGCGTCTCCTCTGGTGCCTGTTGAGGTCGTTTTAAGTTCTCTTTCTCGAGTATTATCGCAATTTCCTTTTTCGATAATTCTTTGGAATCAATTGAATGGAACTCTGACGCAATTTAAACAAAAGTATGAAGCTCTCGATGACAGTATACCCATTCAAATAATAATAGCACCTCGCTCTACACCTAAAGCGGAAGTTTCAATGCTTTCTTCCTCTTTTATTCAAGAACAAGAGGAAAGTACAACAAAAGAAAGGAAAGAGAGTGCGTCAAAACAAAATGAAGGAAAAGAAGAACGCGAAGAAGACGAAGATGTTTTCTATAGCGCTACTGCTGCAGATGAATCCTCAGAGACGACAGCAGAAACAAAAGGAGAAGCAGAGACAGAAATAAAAGAAGAAACTGCTGCAACAATGAGAAGAGTAACGGAAGTAGAGGAAGAAACAGAGACAGAATTATTTATTGTTAGCCCCGGGTTTGATTTATATGAACGACTGATGGAGGCCCGAAGAGCCGTCAACAATGGTGAGTCTTTTACTTTAGCTCTATATACGCCTCAAATACTCTAGATAATATGTATATATATATATATATATATTTTTTAGACTACCTATATGATAAAGGGTATGTATATATAATGTAAAGTATATATATGTTATGCAGATTATATATAATATATTGTATGTTTAAAAGGTTTTTCTTTTTCTTGCATTGTTCTTGTCAGGTGTTTATATACTGAAAAAAATCCTATGGGTTTAAATACATGCAACTGCTGGTATTTCTATTGTTATTTTTAAAAAAGTATTGTGTTATTATTGTTATTTATATTATTGCTATTACTTCTATTATTGCTATTGTTGTGTATCTGCATGCACACATAGGCGAGATTTTTCGAAAGCGTTTGGATTTCTCTCTTAAACCCTAAACCATTATCTGTATGGATTTCTTCTCTTTGTTTTTTCTGCTGTCTTCGTTTTTGTTGCAGAGCCATCTTTGCCCTTTATTCCACACGGAGGTGAGAAGAAAACCACAAATAAATGAACAGCGTTTTGACATATATATATATATATGCATATTATTTACATGCCATATTGTGCGAAGGTAGTGCATGAAAGTGGTTTGCTCCTCTTGAATAGTATGCTTCTACATGTGCTGCAGCTTTTCATGCTGCTGCTGCTTCTGCTGCTTCTGCTGCTTCTGCTGCTGATGCTGCTGCTTCAGGGAGTTTCTTTACCTTGGAGCGTACTTTGGTCGAGATGCAGGAGCGTTTGTCTCAACTATCAACAAAGAGAGCAGATTTTGATATGTCTCTACAGCAGATGCAGCAAATAGTTAATGATATATCTGGTCGTCAAGACTTAGACAGAGATATTCTTTTAAAACAATCGAAGATCTTCGAGTCTCTGGGGCCGAGTAAAGACAACCAGAAATTCTTCACTCAGCAAAAGTATACCATTGGTGCGTAATCCAATTAATTTGTTGATTAATTTATTATTCATTCATTATTTACTAATTAATTCATTTATGTATTTGCTTATTTGTTTATTTATTCAAATTGACAATTCGTTTATTGCAATAACCGACTGGTCCTAATTACATTGATTAAAGAAATAAAAAAATAATTGAATAATAGATTAATTGATTCATGAATTAACAAATGAATTAATAGATTGCAATAAACAAATAAACTAACAAAAATTAATAATAAATCAATCAATTATTTAATTGATTAAACAGCCGATCAAAGCGCAGCTCCATTAAAATAAAATAAATTGTTTTTCCGTTCAAAATAGCTGAACAAAGGAAAAGAAAAAAGCATAGTGTGCTTATTGCATGTATTTGCATGCTTTTGCGTACATTTTGAAAGCGAAGAAGGATTCTTCGTTTGTTTTGTTTGTTTTTTTTGTTTTGTTTTTGCAGAGAGTTTGCTGGCTGAGACTGATATCGACGCCTCGTTATTTGACTTTCATTTACTGCGGTCTCTCACTGTTCTTCAGTTATTTGTTGCATGCAGCGAGATACCTACAGATTGTAATTCATTTAAAACAGAATTCTTTAACTCCGTTAAGGTCACACTCCTCAAAGCCAAAGAAGAAGGTATAAATTCATCTGCATGCACACACCATCTTTTGTTCGATATATATATATATATATATATATATATATATATATGTATAATCCACAGGCATATGCTTGATCGTCCTCTCTCTACCTACCTACCTATATATATATATATATATGCATATATATATATATATATATCTTGCTTTATATGTGTGGATAAATATAAATGCATGCATATATGTACATATACTTATGTATATGTACTTATCCGGAGTTAGTTAATATATACAATCCACAATCATACTCATTGGCTCCCGCTACGTCTACCTACACATATATATATATATATATATGCATGTTACTATAAACATATACATGCAATATGTATATATATATATATATATATGCAGATGTCTCTGTCTCCTGGCGCACTGAAGATTATTTTGTTGGTTTTTTTGTATTTCTTTTTGTTTTGTTTGCTTGTTTAAAGGCGCGGCACACATTCGTCTCGGGCAGCAGCAGCAGCGACGTCTGGATAGTTTTAAAAAATTGCAGCAAGGAATAGAGCAGCTTGAACCACTACTGGCGGGCACTATGTTTTGTTTAACAGAAGGATGCAGAGAAGAAGCAGAAGCAGCCGTTAAGCTATTTAAACCTATTCAATCTCTACTCGGAGATCAGCGGTACAGACAGCTAAAAAGAGAAGCACTAATGCAACCTGCTGCACAATTTTCTGCTTCTGTTCCCCTCCAACCATTCATCAAAGCCAGTAAGAAACAACCTATATATATATATATATATATATATATATATTAATATTAATATTTGTATATATATATATATGTACATATATATATACTATTTAAAATATTATTTGCATGCATGCACCTAATTGCTAGTTCAAGCATTCTATGCATGCATGTATGCATGCATGCATAGTTGCCATTTTCAACATTATGTGGATGGATGGATGTATGCATGCAGAAAATGTTGATATGCATGCATGGATTGTCATGGCATGCATGCATGCATGCATGCGCATGCTTGTGTGCATGCATCTTATTGCAATTTCTAACATTATTGTGGTATTGTTAATTTGTTCTTTTATGATATGCTGAATAATAATATAATTAGTTCTCTTTTTGTATATACTAGTTTTTAAGCTGGTCGGCACTGTGTATTGCAAAAGGTGCATATAATATAGTTATATGCATACATATTCATGCATGTACACACACATATATATAAATCATATTTAAATATACCTGCGCATATGATGCATAAATTATATAATAAATCTGAATATACATGGAAGCAATGAAGGCAAACAGGAACACCGAAATATGATAGTCTGGTTAGGGGCGTGCATCTCCCTTTATAATAATATATATATATATATGTATAATGTATAATATAATATAATTGTGTTTGTGCATTTGGGGTGTATGTACAGGCCACTTGACGCTTCCTTTCGTGCCAATGCAGCAATGGCTGTCAGTGTTACGAAGTGTTAGGACAAGCCCTGCATTATTAACAGCGAAGTCGGTTGTCATGCGGAGTATTGCTTCAATAGAAGTTACTTGCTTTGAAATTGCTAGAACAAGACTTAAATCCGCTCTCATGGTTATACAAAAGGCAGCAGAACAAATGGGTAAGAAACATAAACAAAAAATATTCACCTAACATATATATATATATATATGTACGATATGCATATTTATAGATATATTTATCCCCCCCACTATCAGAATACTGAGATAATATTTTTCTCAAACCAAAGAACACATAACTACTCATTTCATTCTGAGGGTTGCATGCATGCATGCATGCATGCATGCATGCAAGAACAGATTTTTACGTTCTAATAATCAGAATAATGCAAATAAGAAGAGCCGTTAGTATGTTTGAGGCCTACATACAGTCGAAATATCTTCGTGCATTTTCTCTTTTTCCTTTTTTTTGCTGCAGTTCCAGGAGCCGCTGGGGATATTGCAAGGGCTTCAGCAGAGAGGCAGCGAAAACAAGACCAAGGTAAACATTAAAAACATGCATGCATGCATGCATGCATGCTTAATTGAAATTTAAGAACTTAATTTCAACTCACTTTTTCCTTTCGTCTTTCTATTTTTTCTCATTGCTGTCATTCTCCCTCTGTCTGTTTCTTTTTTTCTTTTCTCTGTCTCTTTCTCTCTTTGTTTTTGTCATTCGCTATGCATTTATTTCGCAGTATTATACTTGCGTATATATGTTCTTCCTTTCTTTTTGTTTCTTCTTCCCCACAAGCCTTTCTTTCGTTTATTTTTTGCGTTTAAATTCAATGAATGCAGCTATAAGAAAAGTTTTAAACGAGTGCTGCAGAGAAGAAAACTTCAATGAACACGGAGCCACCTACTTAACGCGTAAGCACCCAAACATATACACGAGCACCAGCAGCAGCAGCACCAGGAAGCACTAGCAGAAGCAGTTAAAGGCAGCAGCCTCAGCACTCGCAGCACGCAATAGCAGCAACGGCAGCAGCAGCAGCATTTGCATCCGCAACGGGGAATCAAAGAGACAATACAAAAGCGAGACAGAAACAAAAGAGGAGACCTAAAAAAGATAACTATAGAGCAGGAATCAGAGGGGGAAAGAGACAGAGAGAAACAGGGAGGCGGAGACAGAGGGAAAGAGACAGAGAGAGCGAAGCGACAAACAGAATTAAAAATATATTTTTATAATATGATAAACAGCAGCAGAGACAGAGAGAGAAAGCAACAGAATGCAGAATTGGGTCTTCTAGGTTCTTTAGTAGATGCTTTTTATTAAATTATATAATAATGTATACTTAAAATTTAGCGAAATTCCTTGTCGGGTATTTTCCGACCTGCACGAAAGGTGTAATGACTTCGATGCTGTCTTCCTGCACGATATATCTCTTTAGCATTAGTGTTCATTTTTCTTTTTAATTACTTAAAGAATTAATCAAGCAATTAATTAATTAGTTAATTCGTTATTTAATTAGTTTGTTTTTGGTGTGTGCTTCATCTTCATACGCAGACGAACTTGTTGCAGGGTTGCGAGCAAAAGGTTATGTCCTTTCTGCAAAGAATGATTTACAGGCATTAATGAATAACAAACAAACTTTTGCTGTTTGGATTCAGCAGGCTGTTACAACTCAAGTAGAAATAGCCGACAGTGAGAATAAAAATGCATTTCCTTCTCGTTTAAATATTTATAAATATTAATAATATAATTAATAAAGAAGTTATCTATAGTACTATTTCCTTCTCATAAATATTTATGAATATTTATAATCATGTTATTCATAAACACGTTATCTATTTTTATAATACTATTTCCTTCTCTTTTAAATCTTTATAACCGTTAGTAATGTTATTAAACTTGTCTTTGTTTTTTGTGTTTGTCTTTGTTTGCCAGCAACCCTAAGGCTAATGCTATCTGTCTGCAATGAAGGGTCTTTCTACAACCAAGGAGCAGCTGCATGCACAAGTAAGGCTTCTTTGCAGCTAAACCTTAAACCCTCAACCCTAAAGCCTATTCACGAATAGTATCTTTCTTTTGGGTTCATGGCTCAGAGAGTAGGGCTTGTACAGGGTTAAGGTCTAGGGAATTAGGATTTTAGGGTTTTTAGAGTTTTTAGGGTTTAGGGTTTAGGGTTTATTAGGAGTTTTTAGGCGCCGTGTTTATCTAGAGTGTTCTATGTTTCGTTCCCCTTTTGTCTTACGGTGTATGTACGCTCATGCAGATAAACTGATGCAGCAGTTTGAAAAGAAAGGATATAAAATAGACACACTTACTTCAGTTACTAAGGCGTCCCTCTCCAACAGAAAAATAACTTATCAAGAATGGCTGGATCTGGCAGACGGAATTCATTTCTCTGAGGGTATGAAGCAAAAAACAAAATTTCAAGCTTTTGTTGCTGTATCCTTTATGTATGTAGACATATATATATATATATATATATATATATATTTGTGAGTTTCTCTATTCCCGGTGTTGGGGTGTCTCTGTCTGCTTGCCCGTAGCTAATAAATAACTATATTATGGCTGTTTGGTTTCTGTTGTATTTTAATAAAGCCTCTTTTCTTCTTTTCACTGTTTTCATGCAATTACTTTTGAATTGAAATGCGCTACACACCGTCAAGGCAAACAAGCGTTTACTTAGAAAAATATATATAGTATCCTTCCATTTATGTTTATTTCTTTATTTAACTTATTTCTTTCTTATTTATTTGCGTACTTATTTCCCGATTTATTCCCTTCTGATGCATGTGTTTGTGTATTAACTTTTCCCATCGTATTTATTGCGCACTGCATTGCCTCCTCATTCACACGGCATGCTTGTTGGTCTTTTTTATAATCCATTTAGTATTTACTTTCTATTTCACTTGTTTATTTATTTATCTATGCATTTATTTGTGTTGATTTGTATTTTCAGCGAAGCGCAATGCTCGTCGTTCAGTGCGTACAAAGGGTCTCGCACGAAGCCATGAAGTTCAAGTATGGGCGTTGATAGCGGAAACTCTTTATAAAAATCCAGAAGCATCTTGGAAGACTATTAAAGATAAACTTCGAGCAAAAGACGAAACACAAAAAGCCGTCAGCAAGCTTGGAATGAAGGCTGTAAAAAGCATATTTTTCTGTGTTAAATGTGAGAAAACAGCACTGTTGCAGCTTTATAGCCTAACACTCTAATTCAATTAAAACCCTATTCCCTAAAACAGCTAAACCATAAACTCTGATGAAACGCACTTCTTCCGCTTCTACTGCTGTATCCTGCACAGAAGAAGCATGCATACGAGCGTTTTCACACTTTAATTAAATTTTTCAGCTTCACTACAGGCAAATCAAAGAATAAATTCACCCCCTATTGTTTAATTTGTGTAATAACGGCTGTAAATCCCAATAAAGCAGTGGGTTGATGATATGCATTTAAATTCATATTGTATTGTTTTGGCTGTTCTATTGCTCTTGTGCAGCACTGCACCAGGCCGTTGGGTTTGTAGAAGAAAAGTCTTTCAAACGCTACGGAGCTTATGCAATAACAAGTACACTGAATTAGAATCAAAGTGTTGTTTTCCTGTCTGCTCTCTAGGACGCAACAGAGCAGCTGAATATAATCCACTAGCAGCAAGTAGTAGCGCATTCGTGAACGCCTCTTTCTTTTTGTTTTGAGCTGTTTATCATTCCCTTATGCTGAACGTTGCGCATTTATTTATTCCATTTGCGCAGATTTAATCGTCGGGTATTTGAGAGAAAAAGGAATATTTGTCGCTGGAAATAGCGCAGTTACCCTTCGTTCAATTCGACAGGCAAAGACGTATTCAGAGTGGCGTCAAGACATATTTTTGTTGAAGGTTTCGAGGGGTTCGTATTAAAAAAGAATAAAATAAAAGAAACAAACGAGGTAATCTATTGAATCCATTGCAGTGTATGATGTTTATATACAAGTTGTTCTGCTTGTGTTTCAGAGCTGACGGGGCCTCCGACTCCCCAGTTTTTGGTTTCCGAGTTAAGAGGGAAAAAATTAGGGGCGTTTTTGTTTCGTCGCGTTGCTCGAAGTCGCTTGATAGCTGTTTTAATACGCACTTTAGTGCGCAAGACCATCGGCTGGGTGGCACCTTATGCGCTTCGCTACTGGATAGGAAAGCTGAGCCCCAAGGACGGCAACGAAGATGCGCGAAGAGTTGGATCTATGTTGATTTCAGCTGCAGTCTTATCCAATTGTTATTTAAACTTAGATTATACGGTACTTACAAGCATTTTACCTGCTGTTTTGGGGGTGATGGAGTCTCAGGCTACCCGCAGTCTTGTTGAAAATATTTTTTCAAATGCAAATGTACCGCGTATACTCAGCCGAACTCTTTTAGGGTTTGCTGCAGATATAGAAGAAGCTGTGCTTAATGCTGTTCTCACGGACTTCCTCGATCCACAGTCTCTGAATGACAACGTGCAGAGATGGACCGGTGTGAATTTCAACTTGCAGCAATTGAACTCAGCCTCTTCTCTCGCGACGATTTCGTCTTATTTGCAACAGAGTGTTCGGCTGCATGTGCCCATAATTGTGGAAAACGCATTACGAGTGGTGGTTGAACCTTTAGCTTATGCTTTGTCAGACTTTGGTGCGGATCTATCAAACACGTTCCTCTCCGTGGCTGCGAAGGAGTTGCCGAGTCGAGCGCTTTCTAGGCCTCCCACAGTGCATGCGGAATTAGTAAAGTATTATTTAGAAGCGGAGCGTGTAATGGATGCTGAGGGTTTAAAGTATATCTACGAGGCGTTTGTAACTGCTTTCAGTGACCAAGTTCTCAGCGCTATGAACCCTCTTAACACAGACCCCGCTCTCATTCCTCGTTCGCCAACGGAAAAGATTATTTTCCACACTGCTCTTCTTCCTACTGAAGGCGTTTCAAACAGAGACATGTTCAAAACCTGGGAGACACAATGGGAACTCGAAACGAAAGACTACCGCATGCAATTCTATACGAACGTGCAAGCAGCGACGTATGGCTTCGTAGGGCATCTCCAGCTGCAAACAACGATAAGTGCAAATAAGATCAGGATTTCTTTTTTCGTGGAAGGTATGAGTAGCGAAAACACAGACGCAAGGAAAATACTGAAGCGGTTATTTAGAAGGCCTGTTTTACGGTTTGCTTTTGCTGAAACATCGAATAGACATGAAGGAAGAGGGGTAATGAAGGTGTATGCTACTGAGGGAGATCTGCAGGGACAGCTTCTCGCCGAACTTGCAACGAGACAGAAGCCTGTCATCACGCAATCTTTTGGCCAAGTTGATTTCGTGCATGTACTTAATGCACCAATCAGCGAATACGCTGCAAGCAATCCAGAGAGAATAACAGCTTCTCTTTCAAATCTAACTTCAGTATTCAGGGGCATCAATCGTCTCAACCAGCTGCAGAAGAACGCAAGCACATTCCAAGCAAACAACCTATTCCCCCTTCTCCTCGAATACGAGTACTATACGCAGTTTTCCTGGTTTTCGACGGACTTTTACCTCGTTATGAATAGCCCGCCGCATCTATCAGCCCCCATGCAGCTGACTGTTATATTTCAAGACAGCCGCGTGAAGTGTTCTTTTGCCTTTGATCATTTCAAACACCAAGAAGAAATTGCAAGACTTCCCATTAACTTGCATGCACCCTGCAGAACTTCTGCTGATATTCGAGGAACTATCAGAACACTCACGGCGTGGGTTACAGGAAGGGCATTTGGAAGGACAAGAGGCTGTTTCCGTAAAGTTGAATATCGTCGAGAACAAAGTAAGACAATAAGCACCCTATTATTGAATAGTTTGGTTTGTGCTTCATTTAAACAATAAAAAAACAAAAAAGGCACCGAGTTACTAACAACAACACTATGTTTACTTTGAGCATACTGCAGGTTCTTTGTTTGGTTCGCAATGGTACGTGATACTGAATTGATATTTCCTTTTCCATTTTTTCTGCAGACAAGGAAACGCTCTTACTTTCGTGGGTTAGTCGCGGAAGGCTTCATACAATGTCTCTCCCTGTCACCGCATTAAACCAGCCGAGCACTGAATTGCCGGCGAGGGATAGAAAAGAGGTGCGTTATAAAAGTACTATAAGTAGCTATCTGGTATTCATTCTATTTTTTAATGTATTTAAGTTAGACACCGTATGCATAACTTTCAAGAAAGGAATCCATACGCGTACTTGATTTGAATGCAACGGAATTAAACGCACAACATGGAAGGAATTCTTCTATATCTGCTTAATTATTTTCTTCGTCAATTAGACATTCCTTTTTTAATTGCTCTGTGTTCCTACCTGTTTTGTTTCAGGCGATGCTGGGGAGACAAACTGTGCGTACACTGCGTCGAGTGATGGATTCTGAAGCGGCGACTACAGGCTCCTTGATATTTCCTTCTGTGCGTTTTTCGGTGTTTACTTTTCTGGCTTCTCGCTGCGTGTTGGCGGGGGCATTTCGGCGTGAAAGGTCTTTGTTTGGAACAGCAGCACTTATGCAAAACCAAGCGGAGAAGAGAGCACACAGAGAGCAGTATTCTCTCAAGCTGAACTTCTTCAAGGTTTCTAAAACGACCACAGATCCATCTTGGAGTCTGCGCATCCGCGCGTTGATGCAGCAACCGAAATACGCACAACTCGTTGAAGCCCTTGGATCTCGATTTGAGGAATTTGTAGACCATCTAGCAAATGCATACACCACATGGGTCAACCAGCTGCACGCAGAAGCCTCAAGGAATACAGGAAGTGCTTTGAATGCAGAAACATTGGAAGCGATGTGCCCAGATCAAACTCGACTGGTAGCATGCGAGCAGAGATATGGCATGTGGGGCTCTCTTTTCTTTCAAGAGCCACATCTGCCTCTAGGAAGAGCAATAGCGAGGAAGCGGATGTCTTCTCCTTTTCTGTTTAAGTACTGGCGGCTTGGTGAACCGGCCTCCTCAGCAAAGACTGCAATAGCTGATATAGAAGACCTAGAGCAGTATAAGCATACAGCGAAGAGAACACACAACATACAAATCGTTGGAACTCTGCAGGCCTCCATATCGATTTTATTGAGTAAATATAAACAAGTGCTGCATGAAGAAGAGATGGGTGCGGACGTGCGTAGCGATCATAAGTTCCAATTAATGAAGTATTTACATCTGCTGATGCGAGATGTTCTTAAAGAAGCACGAGGCCCTGACGAAGAAGCTACAGCTGCTAGCTTGACCAGTGGTCTTCGAACGGCTGGGTACGAGGTATTGGTGCGCCTTTCATTGTCTTCATCTTCTTCTCCTGCTTCATTAGAAGAAGAAAAAGCTAGGTTTGCAGCAATAGAAGGCATGGCTGAGATGTTGTATAAGGACCTGATGCTGCCTGTACGCAGCATTCACTTACGCTCTCTCTATTCTTTGAGAGTGAAGCTGTATGCTTCGTCTGTGCATTTACCCTTTGCTACCAAGATGATTAGAAGCAATCCTCTTGCAATGTATGCGGGCTTCCAGCTGTATCCAACAGACCAAACAATCCGCATGCATGCATGCAAACAGCCAAGCTATTGTCCACATGCTTCTCTGATGTGGAATCATCTCTATATCTCTCTCCTCGTACTCACACAACTTGTCGAGAAAAAAGATGCAGTAGCAGAACTCCTCGCTGCAGATTCTTTCTCCCAAGTCACAGGACAGGAACAAGCTGAAAACAGCCCCCAGCATGTACGGCTCCTGCAGGCGACGCCCCTCAAACTGCTGTTTTGCTGCTAATCTCTCTCTCTCTCTCTCTCTCTCTCTCTCTCTCTCTCTCTCCCTCTGTCTGTCTCTCTCTCTCTCTCTTCTTGTAAACATATATTTATATATGTGGGCATGCAATTGATGAGTGCTTCCTGTAATCATACTGCATTCGTTTCAACAGCTTGCAGATGCCGTTATTTTGCTGCTGTTGCTGCTGCTGCTGTTGCCTGGATTAACTCCAGAAACAGCGTGGAGGGGCAATGGTATTTGGTGTTTTGTTCGTAGGTGTTTTCTCTGTGAATCTGTGCATATTATTTATCTAGCTGAGCTTGCTCTAGCTTTATACCCGCATGCATGCATGCGCGCGTGCGTTGTTGAGAAGGTGTTTTGTGGGGCTTGCGTTGTTTGTGCAGATCCCAGTGACATTTGAAGAGAGTTTTATTGCCTTTAAGACTGGCCTGGGATATATGATGGATATGCGTGCGTCTATCCCAGAGGCGGAGGATTTCTTTTCTTCGCCTCTTTCAAGTCATTCAATAATATCTTTATTGAGCGCCTTTGCAGCAAAAGACAAAAACTTCCGCATTCTGCTGCTGCATCTTCCCCCTCCAGAAGCAGCAGCTGTTCTTAGCTCAAATCATCGCGAGGCTCTGCAAGACAGCACTTGGAACGCCTTCATCGCCTTGTGGTCATTTCAAGAACTTTTTGGCAGACTCGAGGTCAGCTCAGCAATGCTGCTCCTGCTGCTGCTCCTGTGGCTGCTGTTGCTGCTGTTCATCTCTTGTTCGTGTTCTTGTTCATCGTTATTTGGTGTTGCTGTTGGCATTGTTTCTTGTTTCTATCCTTATTCGTTGTTTTTCAGTTCTTGTCATCATCTGATGTTTTGTGTTTATTGTTTTTCTTAGGGTTGTTGTTGCTGCTACTGTTACTGTCGTTGTCAGTGTTTTTCTTTTTGTTATTGTTGATGACAAATATGTGAATATGATTATTATTACTACTATTATAATCCATATTATTATTGTTATTATTATTATTATTATTATTATTATTATTATTATTATTATTATTATTATTATTATTATTAAGTAGAGAAGCCTTTTTTGTTGTTTGTGAATGTCAGGCTGACGTAGCAATATCAATGACTGCATTTCCGTCGTTTGCTCCGCCTTCAGTGTTGAGTACTGGCGAAGACAGCGGCTTTTGGATGCCTCAATGTATATTAGATCCTTTGCAAGTGAAGATAGAGCAGTTATTCGCTCCTTTATCTTCTCCTGTAGCTCGCTTACCTGTTCTTCGTAAAGCAATTGATTCTGTTTTACATGGAGTGAGACCTCAGGTTAGACGACTTGGATATATAAGTTATTCAGATCCTCAGATATTGTCTTTATGGTGGAGTCTGATGAATATATCACTTGAACATTATTCGGAATTGGAGACGGAGATAGAAGCTTTCTTTCGCGACCCTGAGAACACGAAGAACTTTTCGACGATAATTCAAGAAGCAGCAACGATATCAGCGTTTGTTTCGCAGCTCCAAATGACTGACACGAAGGCTGTGCTAGTGAGATCGGCAAAAAGGTTTGGCTTCGAGAGTTGGACGACGTTGGTATCAGGGTTTAAGACTGCAAGACCAAGTAATGAAGCTGTCGCTGCAATACTTGAACGTGTTTTCTTCTTAGCTTGTCGTATGATTCCTGCAAACTCTGAAAATAGATCGATTGCAATATTAGGATATTCAACTGAAGACGTGGCTGTGTTTAGGAGTTTAATCGATGCTATTACTCTCCGTCTTATGCAACTCGGCAGACAACTCCCAGAAGGCATGACTCACTATCCAATATGCAAAGCCATTAGAGAGGCCTCTTGTACAGAATTAAGAGACATAAAAGACGCGACAATTACCAAGTCTTGTCAGGAGTTGGACGTTGTAAAACAAGTTCTTCTGGCTCGTATTCCTTTCTCTTCTCCAGACTTCTGCCAGTCTATGAAGGAAGCGGAAGAACCCCTATTAGAGAGATGTGAATGCAGTAAGAACAGCAGAAACTACTCATTGTTGAAGACCTTCTTCGTAGATTATATGACACAGCAGCTCGAGAGCAGCGCGATCAAAGATCAGTGGTCCGCCATCCTAAAGAAACAATTTCTGAGTTCATCAGACCCGAATATCTTTCCCTTAGCTGGAAATGCCTTGGCAGCGATAATTCATGAAGCTGGTATGTCTCTCGCAGAGAAAGATGCAAAGACAGCAGAACAAGAACTTCATGACACGGCAGTTGATGTTTACCTGACTATGTGCAGTTTTGTGGATTATATGATATCCGCTGCGGAATTAAAGGAGAAAAACGTCTGCAGTCTCTTGCTGACTCCACCTAGACCCCTCTTAAAGCTGCTTAAACGCAGCCTAGAGGCGCATATAGCGCGCCTTCACCTTGGGCGATTCAGTCTCAGCATGCCTCCTATTTCAACTTTGTCGCTGCACAAGATCTTGAATTCAAAAGAGCTGCAGATTCACCCGGCGAGTGCATTGAAGGTTGGACTTTTGGGATTTATAACTTCGTACTACTTCGCGAAAGACAGCGGCGCTAACCGTCAGGGGCAGACTGTATCTTCTGCTTACCAGAAGGTTCAGAAAGAACTTGCAAATATATTCAACTTAATAGCCGATCGCCTCGGGAAGCTGCGGGCTAAATTTGCCACGTGGCAGCACAAAGTTATTGAAAGTCTGAGGCTTCTTGTGGATTACGCGGTGAAGATCATCCTGAACTCCGCCAAAGAAATGACTTACTTGAGTAAATCAACAGTTGCAGCTCAGCGTGCAGACTTAAGAATACAACTTCGAATGCGGCAGAGACTCCAAGGGCTCCCAGAAGAAGCTGCAACGGGCGGCTCCTTCGCGACTTCGGAATTGGAGAAATCTTCAGAAGCAACAACAGGCAGTATTCGCCCTGCAAGTATGGCAGAAATAGACGAAGAAGAACAAGGGAGCAGCAGTGTAAGCACAAATGAAAGCAATCATCATAAGGAGAATGACGAACAACAAGAAACCGTGGCGTCTACTCTACGGCATTCGCCTATCTGGAAACATTCATCTCTTTTGCAGCTTTCTTCTCCTGCTCGTGTGGAAGACAAACAGGCAAAAGGCAGAGGAACGCTGGGGCTTGTGAAGCTGCTTGTTTCGATGTTGTTGACGGATATACCTCGGCTTGTCTCCGGCGTTGTTCCTGTTGTTTTGCCTAATGTGTGGTTTTCAATTGCTGGCGTTTTAAGAGTAAAGAAAAGCGTCGTGGGTTCGGTGAAGGATACTGCTGAAAAAGTCTGCATTCGCGTGCTTGACAGCATTGTGCTACCAAGCTTGATCAGCACAAACGCTCTCGTTCCTGAAGCTTTGATTAAGACGCAGTTGGTGTTATTAGCGAGGAATATTCATTTTTCTGTTATGCCAGAGGGATCAAAAGTAGAAACTGACTTAAAAACTGCGAAGAAAAACAGCGGGTTCCTCGGTATGGGAGTTTTGTTTCGCGGGTTGATGTTTGCAGTGGCTGCACATCTGGAAGATTTGCTGCAAGATAAAGCATTTCAAGAAAAAGTAGTTAAAATAGTACATCGACGAGTTCGGGATCTTTCAGAGGTTATTCAAATGGCATTTAAACGATATCTTGTTTCCGAAGTTATTTGCCAAAGTCTTGAAGTTGTTATTGATGTCACTGCAGACCTCTTGAATGAAAAACGCGATGATTTAGCACATTCTATTTTTGAAGTTGTTGAATTAGATTCTCTCGGCCGCCTCTCTGTCTTCTTGGAATTCAGTGTATGGAGGCTGATGAAGCTGCTGTTAGATGGAGAAGGGGCTTTAAATGTTATTTCAGATATTATCAGTCAAGTAGGATTCATAGGAGCTGCTAAAGATACTGCGCGTACAATCTGGGGTTGGTTCTTCGGCGGTTCAAAGGCTCCTGCATCGGAAGGCGAATAATTCAAATGCGGTGTATAGAGAGAGAGGCAGTTGCTGCTAATAATAAATACATATTTTCTGCTCTTCATCTCGGCTCTTAGATTTTTTAATTTGTTTTAGTTGCTTGGCGAGTGTTGACGATGCACATAGTGGAATACTTCGCTGGCTGCATTGGATATATAACGCGAAAAACCGAGCATTCTTCTGCATGCATGAATGCATACATGCATGCACGCATGCATGCATGCACGCATTCTTTCAATAAACGCATGCATGCATTTATGTAGGGATTCTTCTTTAGAATCCGGATTAGAGCCTGCTGCATAGACGCGGCTCACTAGAATGCGTAACAAATCAATTTTACCTTTAAGGGCCTCATGCTGTTGTTGCATGCATTCGCATGCATGCAAACGTAGCAGAGGAAAGTTGTATTTAAATTTGTCTAAGATGTACATTGATTTTAACCCTTTGTTTGCGAAATCTAAGTCAGATAGAACACCTCTTGAACATTATTTAGATTATATTTAATATTTAGAATATTTTTTATGTTTATCTACACGGGAACATCAAGACAACCTCTCAAGCAGCGCTGTCTGTTCGCTGCTCTCACTGCAGCTTTGCTAGCAAAATATTGGTGTAGCTAAACACAAAATTAGTCAGCAGAGGAGACATCAAGTATATCGATTTTGTTTATTTCATGCATTTTATCGTTGGTGGTTTGATGCTGCTGTTTATTTTTGTATGTCGCTGCTGTTGCTTGCTTTTGTTGTTTGCTGCTTTATGTTCTTGCTCTTTGCTGTCTTCTCTGTTACTTATTGTTTATCTGTTATGTTCATTCGTTGTTGTGTGTTTGTTGTTTAGGGTTTGGGGCTTTTCTGGTGTCTTTATTGAATTCAGCAAACACCGGAGACAGAGTGAGCTGATAAAAGATAGTCAAAGAAGGATAGAGATCCACCGCGCAGTTGCATGCATTTTGAGAAGAAGCTCTGGAGCTTGTTTTTAGTTCTCCTCTGGCATTAGCTGCCAGGACCTGTGGCTGCTGCTGCTGCTGCTCCTGCTGCTGCGGTTGCTGGGTGGAGCAGCAGGGCCCTTCGGCTGCATTTTTGGGGTGGGGCTTTGCAGCTGTGTTTCTGAGCTTGGTATTAAATGCATTTCTACTTGTTATTGCATATATTTTCTCATATACTCCTACTCATTTGCAGATGCATTCCTACTTAGTATTATTATATAAATTCCTTATTATTATATCTTTCTTCTTTTGCTTGACGCCTTTCGTCTCAGTGCTGTATATCTGTTTCCTCTTGTTGATATAGGGAGCGTTTACCCGTTTTGGTACATGCAACAAAGCAAGAGTTGGGTTTAATGATTGTATATGAGGTGGAGTTACAGCAGAGGCTGCAGCGGTAAGAGATGCTACAACTCTCTTGCCTCGTCTGTATTATTATTTTTAGAGAATCAGGAAGCCGTACGGCACTGTGAAGGGGTTTATCAGCTGGCTTTTGGAAATAATATGATGAAGGTATTTTAATTCTTTTGTAGCCTACGAAGACCCCCAAATAAGATCGATGCCACTCGTAATATCTATATTGTACAAAACATAATAAATATGCGTGCAAATAGAGGCAAAAACAAGTAGTGTTCACCGAGAACGGTGACAAGCGGAGAAATACCTAAAGCAGCACACAAAAATAATGGATATAAGTGTAGAATGCATCAAATGCAATAAAAAGAAAGGAATATCCAGCGAGGCCTGGATGAATCAGTGTTCCGAGGTGTACATACACCGCAAGAATAGCGGAATAGGGCGTTCATTCTGAACGAACGCGAGCGTGTCTTAAAAACCTGGCGAAAGCGAAATTATTCCTTTATTTTTACTAAACAACTTCATTTAAAATGCAAACGATTTATTGCCGGCTTCCGTATGACAAAAGAACCTCAGAAAACCCGAACGCGCTTTAGAGCCCCGGTGAGCGAGGCAAGGCATCTCGCGCAAAGGTAAAAGTAAGGGAAGCGGAGGTTTTTATGGTTTTTATGCATTGAATTCCTTCTGTTTATCCGTTAAAAACAAATTATTTTAAAATTAACCGGCGGATTCAGAAGAAAGGAGAATTTTTCGCTGGCTTTCCCCGTTTTCCTTCCGCCGCTGCAAGTGGTGATGTCCCGGAAGCTTCTCCGCGAATTATTCTCTTGGTTGGGGCATCGTTTCTTTTTCTTTTTTTAAAATTGGTGTATTTTCCCCTTAAAGTGATTGAAACTTCATCGTTTATTTCCTTTTTTTCGTTTGTTTGCATCGAGTTTTCAGCACGTGTTTCACCTTCTCCATCCAAAGGGTCGGGAGCTCTCGATTTTATGCATATTTTTCTGCTTTCACCTTCTACTTTCCCGTCGTAGCAGACGGAATGAATTTGCGTGTTTATGCTTTCCTTAGAGTATACTGTCTGAGGTGTGAAGACACCTGAACGCGTGGACGCCTCATCGAGCCCCTTCAGCAGCGAGGGTTATTTTAGTATTATTATTTCTAGCAAAGATGGAATACCCACTTCTTGATGATTATTCTGCAACAGGGCGCACAGGAAAGCTGCGCGATATACTCGGAACAACAAGGACTCAGACGAATTGGGACGCCAAGACAGAAGTTTTGAATTTGCAATCAAGAAGTAGTTCAACTGCACAGGCCAAGCGTTTAATGCTAGCAGTGGGTTTGTTTGTTTTAGTGGTTTTATCTTCTGCATGGCGTCTGCGTACTGCCCAGTTAGAGCGCGGGACACTCTATTCTTCTTTAGAAGAATTCTCCTCAACGGAATCTGTAGAAGCCGATAAGGTTGCTCTAGTGCAGAAAAGAATAAGAGCACTCAAGGCGGCCCTTCCCGATGCAACGCGACTGGCAGAAGCTGTACATACGCCCGAAGCAGTGCAGCATTTAATGAGGCTGGGTTCAAGCTTAGTAGGTGCTTCGCAGCTGAGGAAGGAGATAAAGGAAGCAGCAGATGCCAACAGCGACACCGACGAGCTCTTTGCAAGATTTGACGAATGTTTACATGGAGCGGTCTCTGCTTTAAACAGTTTAGCAACAATAGCAGCAAGGCGAGGGGAGCAGCATGCTGCACAACTCGTTGCTCTTCCTCCACCCTTCCAGCCGAGTGACAGCTTAAAGAAAGCATTAATAGATGCTGCAGGAGAAGAAGCTGCAGAGGCGCTGCTGCTGTCGCTACAGTCATTAGCAGAAACAGCAGGAAGTATGGAAGGACACGTTTTATCATCACATGAAGGACTTCGTGCAGCATCGACGCAACGGCTTACACTGAGTAATTGTGCAGAGAGAACTCATTTTATTTATTCTCAATATTCTCAATTAAGGAGATCTGTCAATGCTGCAAACCATGCATGCGAGGTGTACGTACAGCTCGAAAATACTCTTACAGATTTTCTTCATTCTTGTTTCCTCAGGAAAGCCGTTGAAGAACGCCTTAGTCTTGTACGCCCCTTTGAATTTCAAGAGGGCCTCCTTGCTTTATATAATGCTTCCCGTAGTTCCAGCAGCAGCAGCAGCAGCATGCATGACAGCAAAAGCAGCAAGAGCGAGAGTATCGACAACAACGACAACATGAACAGCGACAAGAGCAGCAGCAGTATTAGCAGCATGATTAGCAGCATCAGCAGCGGCATCAGCAGCAGCTTCAGCAGCAGCAACACTCGGAATCTTGAATCTGCGTTAAAGGAGTTAGCTACACAAGTAGAAGAAGTTGGAAAGAAATTTCGTCTGCATGATTTTATTTTATCTTCTTCTTTCTCTGGTCAAGGCCTTGTTAATCTTACGAAGGCAATTGAGAAGGTGCAGGAGGTGCAGCAGGAGATGCGTACGGCTCTGCAGCAGAACAGAGAGCTTGTAGAGCAGATTCTTACTGCTAATCCTGATATTTTCAGAGACGGGTTCGACAGCATTCGGGGTGTATATGTCTCCTTTGTAGCTGAAAGCGCTTCTATCGTGCATGAATACGCAGCGGGAGTACAGCGATCCGCTGCAAGTCTAAATGCACAAGCAAGCAACAGCTTGCATCAGCAGCAGCAGCAGCAGCAAGAGGAGGAGGAACAGAAAGAAAAAGAACAACAACAAAGAGAAGAAAAATCAGAAGAATCAGAAGAAGAACCAGAAGAAGAATCAGAAGAAGAAGCAGAAGAAGAAGAACAAGAAGAACAAGAAGAACAAGAAGAACAAGACGCAGAAGAGGAACCAGAAGGAGAAGAAGAAGAAGAAGAAGAAGCAGAAGAAGCTGAGAGTGAAGTGATGATGCGTTTGCGTTCGGCTCTAGAGACGCTGCTCAAACAGGCAGAGGGGCTTTCTCGGGTGTCTGTATATATGAGGAGAGAGAGTAGATTGCGGTTGATGAATCGTGCAGTAGTAGTAGTAGAAGGGGAATTAGAGAAGGCTCGTAAGACTACAAACGCAGCCCAGCTGCTGCTGCTGCAGCAGGAGGTGCAGCAGCTGCTGCAGCAGGACATTGAAGCCACGCAAAGGGCAGTAGGAAAAGTTCAAGTGGAGGCTTTTCAGACTGCCAATACACCTGAAGGGACATCGCCTCCAGCAGCAGACTCCCTGAAAGCTGTTGCTGGGGCTGCTGCTGCATGCAGAGCAGAGTTGATAAGGCTTGAAGCAGCAGCAAGTGAAGACGGCGAAGACAGCGAAGACAGCGATGCAGAGCAGGAAGAAGAAGAGACACATAAACCTTAACTAGAGTTTATTGCTGCTTTTTTCTTGTCTATACACCTTAAGTAAGCCCATACAGTCCGGCATTCTATGCGAAGCCAGACGCAAAGGAGCGCCTCCTTTTCTTTTTTATCGATGCCTATATTTATACTCTTCTTTTTGTTTGGTGCGATTCTTCTTTATTGATGCATTTATCTATACTCTTTCTTCTGTCTGATGCTATTCCTTTTTATTGACATCTTTATTTATGCTCTTCCTTCTGTTTGCACGCCTTCTGCACGACTTCGGTCTTTCGTGCACCCAAAGCAAGCCCATGCTGCTTGTTTAGTATTAACGCCAGGTCTCTTCATATATATATATATATATATATATATATATATTCATTATATAGTATATATATATACATGTATGTTATACACAGATGCAGGTGAATATACAGATACATATGTAAATCTATATATATATGTATACATGTATATACTGTGTGTATCATATATGCGGCTTTCTGGGTTTGTGCGTGCATGCATATGAAGATAAAGAAAATATGTGTACGCGCATGCATCATATAAATTAAGTAAATATATATATATATATATATATTATATTGCATGCATTGCGTCTTTATTGGAGCAATCGGAGAAATAGCACATGAAGAGAGATGCATTTTCGGCATTTAAATACAGCCGCTCAAGTAGATAGCGCCTTTTAATTAATTAGCTGCTATGGAGAACGCATGCATTAATTGCATGCGCAGCAACTGCATGCAATTAGTGCATGCGTCCTCCATGCATTCTTTCATTCTATGCATGCATGCATGCATGCTTGTTTGTTGCTTGTACTCATAGATACTTGTGTCCCTCTATCTGCCTGACACACAGCCTATATATATAATATATATAATATATATATGCATATATATGAAGAGAGACCAACAGAAGTTGCATGCATGCGCTCTAAGGCGGCGTGCTGCCTTCGTCGTTTTCAACACATCGAATTAGGACTAAATAAACGGTTCATTACCGCAGAAATGCACAAAGAGATAGATGCATGCATGCATGCATGCGGTTAGTGGGGTTAATGGTGCATGCTGTTGTGTTCTTTAATGTTGAGGCGATTAGAAATTTGTGAGTGCTTCTTCTTGTGTGTTTGTGTTTATGCTTGGTTTGTTGTTTGTTTATTTGTTTGCTTGCTTGTTGCTGTCACTTTGGCTGTTGACTATTTTTACTTATTTATCTACTTATTTGTTTGTTTCTCTTTCGGTGGAGTGCTGAGTAGATGATATTTTTGCATTTCTTCGTTTCTGTCGCTCTGCTGTTTTTCTTTCTTCTTATCTGTGGGTCGTCTCAACAAACACCCAAACGCTCAATGCAGCATGCAGCATAACAAGACGTAGTATATATGCATAATATATATATATATATATAGAATATATATAATGTATATTATCGGCGTGTATATAATATATAATCTGTACATTATATATATATTATACATATATGTATATATACGTATATATACATATATATATATATATATATAAATATATATATATATATATGTTATAAATGTACTACGTCCAGTACATAGTGAGTTTCTGTGGTGTGGAGCAAAAAAACAAATTTTGCAAGCGGTGCGTAGTTTTTTGGTTAAGTTGCAGCGAATGAATTGCAACGAAACAAAGCCCAACGTCAGCAATTCAATAGGTTGCAGTTATTTATTTTTTCATGTTTGCTGCTGCTGCTTCTGCTGCTGTTGTTGCTGCTGCAGCTGCTGTTACTGCTGCTGCTGCAGCTGCTGTTACTGCTGCTGCTGCATGCAGATAGCTAGGTGGGATGTATATACGTATTCAAAAAGGAGATAGCAGAATAATGCGTAGAAGGAAAGATGACTTTGGCATGAATACTTAGTTTATCTGTACTTAGTTATTGTTATAATTATTCGATATTAATTAGCTGCTTTATTATTATTATATTATTATTATCCTCAGCTGACGATGAAATGGCTACGGAATCCTCTCTGCTGCTCCGAGTCTTCCGCCTGTAAAAACAAACAAACGAATATATTATATATATTATATAATATATTATGTAATGCATGCATATTTTAATTATAATGGTAGTAGTAATACTAACTGAGAACGATTGTAAGAAAGATACAATAATAATAAGTAAATTAATAATAATCATAGTAATCAAAATCATAATACTAAATAATAATAATGAGTAATAATACTACCACTAATAAAAATTAGTAAAGATAAAGGTATATAAAAGTAATAATCAACAATAACGAACCTAAATAATAAATAATAAGCAACAGATAATAATATATTCAATTAAGAACAAACAATAATAATATTAAAGATAATAATAATAAAATACTCATAGAAGGTGCTTCCTCTCACCTTTTCTTTTCTATCGAGTATAAAAATAATTAAGGCCACCAATAACAAACAAATCACAGTCGTCTGCAAGCAAAATAAAACAAAATAAACAACAATATAAAACAAAATAAAACAAAAAATAAACATCAAACGAATAAACAATATAACATAAATAATAAAACAAACAAACCGAGAGAAAAAGGAATAATAACAAGCAAAAAAGAAACAATAAAACAAACAAACGCAATAAATGAAAGAACAAAACAAACAAAGAGGAGCAGAAATAATAAAGCAAACAAAGAATGACCGAGTGAACAAAACAAACAAACACAATAAAAGAAAAAAGAAAACAAACAAAAATAAAAGAATGAAGGCATTGAACACATTCAAACAAAAACAAGAAAATAATTAGAGGGGAAAACAAACGAAAACAAAACCCACGACTGTAACAAGAAATCTCTATCAATATATAAACAAAATATATATATATATATACACATAATATATATATGGACATATCTATACATATTATATATATATATAGACAGGCATTCACAAATAAATATAACAACAATATAAACAACTAGCAGGAAAATGAAGAAAAAAAGAAGTGAAGAGCCTCACGATCAGAATGTTGGCGAAACTTCTGCTGGGGTGTACAGACAGCTCAAGCTGCCATGATGAGGGTTTTTCAAGAGGATAGGGCATCACTATAACTTGTGAATTAGGAATTAGAGAAACCCACATATTATGCGATGTCTGCAGACCCACACAAACCCTAAACCCTAAACCCTAAACCCTTAAATGTAAGCCCTAAACCCTAAACCCTAAAACGTAAACCCTAAACCGTGGAACACTAAACCCTAAACCCTAAAACGTAAACAGTAAACCCTAAGCCCTACGCCCGATAACTCTAAACCCTAAACCCCGAACGCAAAAGGTAAACACTAAACCCTAAACCCTAGGCAAGGGATATTCAACCCATCAGACAAAAACATCTTGAAGAAAACAAAAAAATTATTTTAAGTATTATTATAATAACCATCTGTGTTGGAAATAACACAAGAAAGAATTCCTAAACCCTATTATTTATTTGTTTAAAAAACTATAAATTATTATTATTTACTATTATTTAGTATTATTATTCATTGTTATTATTTCTATTGATATTATTTACTATTACTTCTTATTATTGCTATTATAATTATCATTGTAATTAATTACTAACATTTATTATTATTTATTAACATATTTATTATTATTAAAATATTTATTGCCAGTTGTGCTAGGGGTAATCCCAGAAAGAATTCAGCATAATTATTTGTCTATTCTTACTACTTCTATTTACTATTATTACTTTTTTTAAATTACTAATATATTTGCTACTGTTATTTATTATTAATATATTTAATATAATTAATTATTAAAATATTAATTACCAGTTGTGCTAGGGGTAATCCTAGAAAGAACTCCTCAACATAATTATTTGTCTGCCCCAAGCCAAACAATTCAAATGGCAGAGACAGCGGGGCGTGAGCACTTTGAGGCAATTGAACGCCTGCAAACAAAAACAAGAAAAACACCTCTAAACCCTAAACCCTAAACCCTAAACCCTAAACCCTGAACTGCCATGCATGCATTCAAAACCCTAAACCCTAAACCCTATAACAACCGAAATCCTCGCGTAAATCAACGACCCAGCGAAATTCTCAAACATCAAATTCCTTGCCTTCTGCAAACAAACCCTAAACCCTAAACCCTAAACCCTGAACCGTAAACCCTAAACCCTAAGCAATACCTGTGCGCGGTGTCTTGGTGCCGTTCAAGTCGGTAACTGTTAATTTGAATGTCGCACCTAAAACAAATATCATCAACAGCACTTCTTAAAATGAAAACCCTCTGCATGCGCCTCAAACCCTAAAGCCTAAACCCTAAACCCTAAACCCTCAAACCCTCGCTCACCGACAGCTGCAGCGCCATAAGGGGGTGGCAGATCCGGAACCACTTGAGGCGCAGATGCGCTCACATTCTGCTGCTGCTGCTGTTTGGCTTCTAGTGCATCCATTGGGCCATCTACGCTGCCGCCGCTGCCGCTGCCCCTGCTGCTGCTGCTGCTGCTGTTGCTGTTGCTGCTGCTGCTGCTGCTGGTGTCTCGGAGTATGAGTGAAAGAGGTGTTTCTTGACTTTGTTTTTCATGCAAAGGAGCGAGAGTTTGTCTAAAACAAAATGAAAATGGACAGACGCCATTCAATGAGCTAACTTTAATAAATAAACTTTCAGTTGAAGACTCAGGAGGATGAAGAAACACTCGCACGGTATCGAAGGGGCTTCCAGAAGCCTTCTGCTGCTGCTGCTCCTGCTGCTCCTGCTGCTGCTGCTGCTGCTGCTGCTGTGGCTGTCCCTGACAAAGGACATCCAGTGCACCCTAACAGCAAACAAACAAAGACATGAAAATATAAATCAGAGAGGGAAGCGCTAAAGGTGTACATACACCCTACGAACAAGCATACTTGCATGCATGCATGCATGCATGTATAGATAGGTTATTAAGAGGAATTAAATACAAATATATTGTTGATTGAGGTGTATGTACACCCTAACCTTCTCGCGGAAGTCAAAGAAAGCCACGCGATTGCAGAGAAGTGTTTGGCCCTTCACTGACGCCACAAACTCCGCAGCTAGTTGAAAGCGACGCTTCTTCCCGTTCTGCATGCAAACCCTAAACCCTAAACCCTAAACCCTAAACCCTAAACCCTAAATCTTGAACCCTGAATTCTTTAGAAAGTCCTCACTGCATGGGATCGCCTTCATGCGGCGCGCTCCAATGCAACAGACACGCAGCTTCACAGCTTCCCAAACCCTAAACCCTAAACCCCAAACCCTAAACCCTAAACCCTAAACCCTAAACCCTAGGCTTGCCTTGGAATCCTCAGGAACATTTCTGTAGATGCGCACTGCACGAACCCCTCCCTCCTTCACTGCAACCAGAGCCACGTCTAAATAGCCGTCGCCATCCACGTCGCCCACCTAATCGCAAACCCTAAACCCTAAACCCTAAACCCTAAACCCTAAACCCTGACATCCTGATGCCTTAGAGCATAAACGCTAAACCCTAAACCCTAAACGACAGTAGACCATATACTGTAGCTACTCAGCTTCATCCTGAAGTGTATAGAGGCAGAAATTGCATGAAACAAAAGAAAGCAGCCCCATCTTCTCCATTGCATGCATGCACGCATGCATGCAATGCATGCACGCATGCATGCAATGCATGCACGCAGACATAATTAATGCATGTATGCATGCATGCAGTGCGGGTTAATTACGCTTAAAGTTGCGGGCTTCGCAGCATCGCCGTAGAAATGAATTGAGGGATCTGCATCCAGATATGATTTGGAGGCCTCTTTGCTGTCATCTGCAGCACAAAACAAAATTAAAAAAACAAAACAAACAAAACAAACATATAAACATCACGCAAGGTGTACGTACACCCGGCGCTTTCAGCCCCCACATACATTTCCGCTGCAACCTCAAAATAATATATAATAAATTATGAGACCCAAAAATTGCTCCTGAGACATTTAACAACCCGCATGTTCTGAGGTGTACATACACCCGAGGCGGTGCTGGGGTGTCTATCTATACACTTCAAGTACTGAGTCCCGGGGTGTACATGCAGCTTTTCAGTGTTGAGATGTCGATATACTTCATGTTGTGCTAGAGTGTACATGCAGCCTTTCAATGTTGCAGTGTACATGCAGCTTTTTAGTGTTGGAATGTACATGTAGCTTTTAGAGTTGGGGTGTACATGCAGCTTTTAGAGTTGGGCTGTATATGCAGCTTTTAAGTGTTGGGGTGTACGTACAGCGCGCTAAGGCGAAGTCTGAATTTGCATCGCAGAGTTCGAAGGGGCGTCTGCATTTTTCAACTGTTCGCGAAGTCCACCAAAAAGAGCCGCAGAGAGGCGGCTGAGTGTTTGCTGCAGCAACAAGCAGAGATGACGGAAGCAGCAACAATAAATAAAGCACAAACAAAATAATAAATACAGAATATAACGATAGAACATTTAAATATAAAGGCTAACAAAAATAGAAAAAAATCAATCATTACATATATATATATATATATATTATATAATCTAATAGACAATTTGCGGTGTACGTGTACACCGCAAGTGTTGCATGCAAATCCTCTCAGGTGCATGTACACCTCAATCAAACAATGTTTATAAACACTTTTATACTTACGCATTAAAATCAGAGCGTCATTCTTTATGCAAACACCCTCCTCGTTCTTCTCGCAAGATGGAACCAAGATGTCCAGAGTCCCTGCACACAAACCCTAAACCCTAAACCCTAAACCCTAAACTTTAAACCCTAAACCGTAAACTCTGAACATAGTGAGCCCCCATTTTTGCACGGCTCCCAAGCAACCCTACCCCGCTAAGCGTAAACCCTAAACCCTAAACCCTAAACCCTAAACCCTAAACCCTAGGTCACCGTCTGCATCGAAGTCTGCGAGAAGGATTTGCCCTGAGCCTGGCGGCAAAGCGATGTTTTGCTGCTGCCGCTCCCACGTTGCTGCTGCACCGTCATATCTGTTAAGCCAAACTTCAAGCGAAACAGAAGAAGAATCCGGAGACTGCACCATCTGCACATACACCCCAGCAGCAGCAGCAGCAGCGGCAGCAATAACGGTACATTAGCAGTAAGACCAGTCGAAGGAGCAGCAGCAGTATATCAGCAGCAACAGCAGAGGTAGCAGCACATGCAACAATACCAGTAGCAGCAGCATTAGCAACTATAGCAGTAGCAACACCATCAACATCAGCATCAACAGCAGCATCAGCAGCAGCCACAACAACAGCAGCGGCAGCAGCAGCAGCGGCAGCAGCAGCAAGCCTCCGGCTATCAATATTAAAGAGCCATCATCATAAAGAACGGAGTGAAAGCGAAGCAAAGACAGAAGAAAAGAGAAAAAATCGAACAAAGCCAAAGGCAGCACTTCAGGTGTATAGGCACCTACCAGCAGCAAATCTGCGCGGCAGTCTCCGTCAATATCTGCAACAGCACTGCTGTGAGGATTGGTAATAAGGGCTTCTTCTTCTTCCTGCTGCTGCTGCTGCTGTTGTTCCTGCTGCTGCTGCTGCTGTTGTTCCTGCTGCTGCTGCTGCTGCTGCTGCACTTCAGGTGTCTGCTGAGGTTGTGTCTTTGAAAAGAATTCACCAGCAGCAGATATTTTTCTTGGTGCAAATCCCTCAACCCCTCGGCTTCCTAAGTTTTCCCAAAAGAAACGAAAGGCGCCCTTGCTGCTGCTGCTGCTGCTGCTGCTGCTGCTGTTGCTGCTGCTGCTGCTGCTGCTGCTGCTGGTGTTTGGTGGAGTCTGGGCAAGCAAATCCGGGTAATAATCGAAAGTATAATCTGCTACTAAGGGGTGGATGCTGCTAACGCTGCATCTGAGCAGCTCTTCATCTGTGAGGCCTGCTGCAGCAGCCTCTGCTGCTGCAGCAGCAGCAGCAGACAGAGGCGACCGCGCAGCAGCACCAACTGGATCCCCCCCTAAATACACTGTTTCTCCCCCTGCTGCTGCTGCTGCTGCAGCTGCTTCTGCTGCTGCCGCTGCTGCTGCTGCTGCTTCTTCAGCTCGCGCATGCAATCTCCCAGCCCCAAACTCAAAGGCAGCAAGGCCCAAGGCGTCTGCAGCGGTATCTTCGCCAGCAGCAGCAGCAGCAGCGGCTGCTGCAGCAGCGGCAGCTGCTTCTGCTGCTGCTGCTGCTGGTGCTTCTGCTCCATTCGCAGGAACGTCTGCTGCTGCACCAGATCCTTCTGCCTCTGCTGCAGCAGCCTTCGCTTCTCCTGAAGCTGCCAATGCAGCGTCCTCAGCAGCAGCAGCAGCAGCAGCAGCAGCAACAGCAACAGCAGCCCCGACTGAGCCAGATGAGGCAACTATCTGCTGCTGCTGCTGCTGCTGTCTGCTTCTCTTTCTGTGCTGCAGCAGCTGCAGCACAAACTGCTGGCTATCCCAAGCTCTCTCGAGGGCCCCTGAGGGTCTCTGAACGAAGGCGACGAGGCCATACGTCCGTTTACCTGCTGCTGCTGCTGCTGCTGCAGTTGCTGCTGCTGGCGCTGCTGCTGCTGCGGCTGCATCTGCATCTGCAGCAGCAGCAAGAAGAGGAACAGGGGGCCCTAATGTAACAGCAATTATATCTACCCTCCCGTCTCCAGACCAATCAACAGCAACTATGCTGTCTACTGTCTCCTTCAGGTGTACAGACACATGAAGGTGAAACTGCATCAAGTCGGGGCTCCAGGTGTATACAGAGATTGTGCTGCCGCAACGCTCGCCTTTCCTGCTGCTGCTGCTCTTGCTGTTGTTGCTGCTGCTGCTGTTCGTGCTTCCGCTGCTGCTGCTGCTGCTGCTGTTGCTGTTTGATATTGCGGCTGTGGAGGAATCCGGAGGAAGCTGCGTTGATTCGCTCGAAGTGGGGGGCGGGTTCGTTGAGCTGCTGCTGCTGCTGCTGCTGCTGCTGCTGGTGTTGCTGCTGCTGCTGTTGCTGCTGCTGCTGTTGCTGCTGCTGCTGCTGCATTCTGGCAGGTGTGCGCTGCTTCCAATGAAGATGAAATCGACGTGCATATCATTATTAAAATCTGCTAAGGCCCCTAACTCGCCTCTCCACCCTTCCGCCTCTAGCTGCTGCTGCAGTGCCTGCTGCTGCTGCTGCTGCTGCTGCTGCTGCTGCTGCTGCTGCTCTGCAACGAGAGAAGAGCCCGGTGTAGGTAACAGGTTGGGGAAGCTTGCTGTGCGCGAACCGAGAGACATAAGGACAGATTGCTGCCGCTGCTGCAGCTGCTGCTGCTGCGGTGGAGCAGCAAACGGTACGGGTAAGGCAACATCCTTCAGGTCCTGTTGCTGCAGCTGCTGCTGCTGCTGCTGCTGCTGCACTGCTGCTGTCGATCCCGCAGCAAGAGCTGCAGACGAAGCAGAAAGAGGAGTAGAAAGGAGCTCCTCAAGCCTACCACCGTGTGCTGCTGCTGCTGCTGCTGCTGCTGGTGCTGCTGAAGGCATCGCAGCAGCAGCAGTGTACCCAGGCAAATGCTGCACAAAGAAAGTTCCGCTTGGCTGCTTCCTTCCGAGCCCCATAATTTCTGCTGCTGCTGCTGCAGGAGAACGAGCTGCTGCTGCTGCTGCTGCTGCTGCTGTGTCTTGCTGCCAGGGGGAGGAGAAAGGGCCTTGACTTGAGCCATCCTTTTGCTGCTGCTGCTGCTGCTGCTGTTGCTGCTGCGCCCTGAAGGGCAACAACCACAACAGCAGCAACGCAAACAGCACCACCCCCAGCAGCAGCAGCAGCACCACTATCCAGCGCTTCCTCCGCAGCATGCCGAGTATTTTTGCTGCTGCTGTTGCTGCAGCAGAAGCAGCAGCTGCTGCTGCTCCAGCAGCAGATGCTGCTTGCCGCTGCAGCAGCAACCGCCTATAAAGGGGTCTCGGATACGACCCAGGCAAAGGGGGGGCCTCAGGAGGAATAAGAGAAACTTCTGCTGCTGCTGCTGCTGCTGCAGCAGCAGCAGCAGCAGAGTGTCTCCGTTGACGTGCTGCGGGAGACGAGTTGAAGTCCTCCGCCTCCAAATTGTTAAACCCAGACGACAGAAACTGCTGCATCTAAACAGCAGCAGCAGCTGCAGCAGTTGCTGCAGCGAGTGCAGCTCCTGCTGCAGCTACGTCGCCTTCTGCTGCTGCTGCTGCTGCTGGTGTTTCTGCTGTTGCTGTTGCTGCCCCTGTTGCCAGCCCTTCTGCTCCCCTTGCCACCGTCCCGCTTGCCGTTGCTGCTGCTGCTGCTGCTGCCGTTTCTGCTGCTGCTGCTGCTTCACTCAAGCCACAACGAGGAGTTGCAAAGAAGCAGCAACTAAGAAAGAAAAGGCATGCAAGTAGACAGACTGGTAGCTGAGGTGTACAGGGAGGTATGAGGCTGTCTTTGCAGTGTGTTGAGGTGAACATACACTGCAGCAGCTGCTGCCAATAGCAGCAAGCGAAGAGGCAGCAAGAAGCAGCAGAAGAGCAGCAGCAGCGGCGGCAGCTGCTGCTCCTACTACTGCACAGACAGAGGAGATGCCGCACAGGCGTGCAGCAACAAAAACAAAAAAAAAGAATTCAACTCAAAAAAACAAGTCAAAAATCTATATACTAAGCCTTTAATCCACAGGATTAATGTTTAGGGTTTAGGGTTTAGGGTTTAGGGTTTAGGGTTTACTCCAGCCAGCCCCAGGCGTAGCTTGCATGCACGGGCCGAAAGGAGTTTCTTTTGTGAATAATAAAATAAAAAATAACATGTAATTAATATATTTATTTTTATTTTATTTAAAACTAAACTAACTTACCCCTTACCACTCTGCTGTACGTACACCTCAGCCTCTGCTGGCTGTTTATTTTTTTCTGATTTTTTTTTTGTATTTCTTTTTCTGCGTTTCTCTGCATTTATTTTTTATCGCGAATTTTTTGTTGATTTTCACTGGCTGGGGTATTTGCCGCTACTTATATATACATATATATGCGTATATACATATATATGCACATATATATATATATATGTATATATATATATATATGTAGATGGTTATAGGTATTAGATATAAATATAAATATATATATGTATACATATATATATATGTTTAGCTATATATATATATATATATATATATTTAGAGGTGGTAATATGGAGTACTTGAATTCGACTAAGGTTAAAAATATATAGCAGATGCCAGCGACGCAAACAAAAACTAAAAAATAATATAATAATATATAATTATATTAATAATATAATTATATCTCTTTGTGTCTCAGGTATATAATAAGAAAATCTAATTGCAAGTACAGAAGAACAGAATATATCTGTGTCTATATATCTATATCTATATATCTATATCTATATCTCCGTCGATATCTACACATATTTATATTATAGCTGTAACTAGCTATAGCTAGCTCTGGCTGGCTGTGGCTAGCTGTGGCTAGCTGTAGGTAGCCTGCGCTTCACTCTTAGGCTTAAATTATTGCCCGAGAGTTGCGAAGAACAGCAAAGAAAAAGAAATATTTATATATACTTATATATGTATATGTATATATATATATATGTGCATGCATATATATATATCTATATATATATATATATTTATGTATTATTATTATTATTGCTATTAAAATTATAATTATTATTATTTACTATTATTATTATTGGTATCATACATATATATATATATATACATTTATTATTACTATTACAGTTTTTACTAATATTATTGTTTATTATTATTATTATTATTATTATTGCTACACCCTATATACATATATAT